TTTCGTTCTTGTACATTCACTCTCTCCAGATTTTGGGAAGCAAATGGTTAGAGGATCAGCGTGTTGGGGAAGTTTCAACCAGAAGCGGCAGGGGAAAGCATACCACGCGCCATGTTTCTTTGCTTCCATTATCTGGAGGAGGTTATCTAGCTGATACTCCTGGGTTTAATCAGCCTAGTTTACTGAAAGTAACTAAGCAATCTCTTGCACAAGCTTTCCCTGAGGTTTGTGCTTTTAGCCTGTTGACAGTGATTTCGCACGCTTCATTTATTTAAGCTTTGACTGTGTTAAATTTATGAACAGGTAGTGATACCTTCTCTTTTCTATTGTTGATTCTTTCTGTTTCTATTTTCTCCTCAGATTCGGAAAAGGTTGAAAGCCAATGAGCCCTTGAAATGTACATTCAATGATTGCTTGCATATTGGTGAACCAGGGTGCGTTATAAAAGGGGATTGGGAAAGATATCAATACTATTTTCAACTTCTTGATGAGATCAGGATGAGAGAGGTGTTTCAGTTGAGGACATTTGGAACCAAAAGAGAGGGTGATGTAAGGTACGTAAAATTAGATCTCTAGTGATAGCTACATATTTGCCATGTTGTGGCAGTTCCACCCAGAACGTAATGGGTGACTCCTACAACACGTCCTTGTACAATGCTCAAGGCTCTAGGCTTTAGGCTGAGTAGCAGGAGCAACCTTTAATTTATTATGAGCCCAAACAATGGATTCAATAAGTTCTTGCCAATAACCACGCTTGCTGAATAGAAACATTAAACTAAAAGCCCATACAAATTGAGCACCTAGAAAAAAAAGGCCATATACAGATAATGAAGAACCGTAAGACTGAATTACCTGGGATGCCTGTGCCCATAAAAAATCGCGGATCCTGCTGGTGGAACCAAAAGTTAGATAATGTTATGTTCAATAAGCTCAACGGCCATTAAAATTGAGAGTAGAAACATTTTGGTCTGAAATAGCAACTTCAGTTTCATTACTCTATGGCCAATAAATGTTTGTATTAAGCATTTATACTGACGACTCTTCCTATCTTTTTCCTGTACTTCCTTTTCTTCTAGACCAAATAATTTGCAAAAATGTAGTTCAGTTCCTTGTTAGTATAACTTTGCAGGACAATCCTGGTTTGATAACTGCATTTCCAATTGTCAAATTGTTTGTAGGTACAAGATGGGTGACATGGGTGTTCAGCAAGCTGAACCACGATTGGAGCCTAAAAAGCACCGAAGACAGTCTCGCAAGAAGATCAACCAGTCAATATTAGATGAGCTGGATGAGGATGAGGATGAGGATGAGCTGGATGAGGATGAGGATGAGCTAGACTTGGAAAATGATCCCATTTTGAGAGATATGAGGAACGAAAGCCAGTAGAAAGTTGGTTTTAAACAGTAAGTGTAAATGAGTAGATTTTTGACCCTCTTTTTTGTTACAGCTGCTACACTGAATTCATCGGTACGGGTAATGATGTGATACCAATCAGATTTGTGAGTTTTCTTGGATAGAGAATAAATCCTTGTATAATGGCTGCTAGTGGGACTGATTGAGATCTAATGTGTTAACATTTGCAATTTTCTCTTTCATGGTATGCACTACCCACAGCGTTAATTTTTGCAGAAACAGATGTCAGGCAGTAAAGCAGTGAACTAGTGAAGATTTTAGGATGTAAAATTGAGTTCCAGCTTGTGTCTTTTTTTTTCTAAATTTTAACCCTGTTTTTCCATGTACCGGTTTATAAACTTGGCATCTGATGCTCCAATATATGATGCCCTTAATTTTGTTTGAAATTCAACCTAAGAAACCTTGTCTCGTTATAGATGAACATAAAATGAATGAGTTAATTCCGTGGACTGAATTTTGCTATACATATTATTGATGTCAAGTATTTTTAAGGATTAAAGTACAGTTGCGAAGCAATGCCGGACCACTTCGCTTTGCTTTGTCTGCAAAACTCTTTTAACACCATCATGATATTGACTAAGGGCAAGGACTCCTCCATATTCGTAATTTAAAGTATTGAAGGGAATGTCTTGTGCTAGCTAGTTAGCCTCTGCTGGACTTAACGTGGTAACCAGAATTGACATTTAAGTGGCTACTTAAAACCTGAACTTTCTATTATTCATATGCACATCAACACTGCCATCAGTCAACTGAAATACTTCGCATAGTAACAGCTTAGATATTATCACCAATACTCCAAATCTTTGGAGTATCCTAGCGATCATGCAGTTTATGATCTCATCCAACAAATGGCCATATAGATAAGGAAAAAGAAAAACACACTCCCCTCAAGGCTGAAAACATTGATATGTTAGATCATCACAGATGGAAGACAGGAAGCATTCAAACCACTCTATAGGATAATAGGAATATACTTAATAAAAGATACCTGAAGCCAATAAACTCGCCAACATCTCTCTAATAAAGAAAATGAGAATACAAATTTCCTTGTTAACAAAATCAGGTTGACTATATGAAATGATGAAATCACCATTCAATCTTATTGATTGTCAATTTCATAATTTCAAGCATTAATCAGGTTTGCTCAAATTATTGTTGTGGTTAATGCACAAGGCAACATCAATTTCCCAAAGAGAAATCAGAATTCATTTTTCCCTGAACAACTAGTATAATCATTGGCTAATTCAGGCGAATACTTTGACATACCATCAAGCAGAACCATGCTTAACTTCTATCAAAATCTCACAATTCTCCAGAAAAAGTTAGCTACATAAAACTATAACATTCACTTTCATTTCAGCTATGCAGAAACGTCACTTTCCAGGGTTTACTCTTAAGTCAATCTCATCATATCATTACTCACCATGCCTTATCATAGTGAGTTGATGACCAAATTAAATATTCTTAACACCATTAACAGGCAAGCAATTAGATCCTTCTTTACCAAAGAAACAACACATAACAATAATAATAACAGCATGCAGGCAACACAGTCATTATACTAAATCAAGGCCAATTTCTAGTGACAGTCAAGAGAGTTTCAAAGTTTTTGACAAGAAAGCAATGGTGTTTTTTATAAACCTTTCATAAGAAGATGACAGCCAAAGTCATAGAAACCCTATCAAATGCCAAAATTAACCTACTTCTTAGCAGGCTTTTTCTTTGAACTAACAGCCACCTGCGGTTTGGGATGCTTTTCGGCCTCACTTGGATCCAACCAGTTGAGAGGGTGGCGATTGAAGAAAGGCCAGTTAGGGACAGTGATTAATGTGGTGAGAACCACACCACCTGCGTATATCAACATCATCATCTGAAATGAACTCATTGCGTAACCAGTAACAAATGCCACAACCGCAGATGCCAACAACATTATCTGCATCAAGTGCTCCGCTAATTTTTGCCCTTGCCAATCCATCTACAACATGGAATTGCAATCTAACATTAAAAGACTACCAAAGAGATAAACAACTAAAGTGAAATGTTAGACCCTCAAGAGAAGAAAACCATCATGCATCAATTGTGCTGAGAAGTGAAACAATAATAAATACGAATGTTATGACATGAAGATAGAAACGAAAACCCTAATGCTCTGTTTGGCTGCTGAGAAAATGTTTTAAAAGAGAGAAATTCGAAACACTTTCTCCCTTTCGCGAAATCTGTTTCAGTCAACTAATCGTAAAAGTCATCTTTTCGATTTCTCAGAAAGCGCACAGAATCGACAAATAAATACTGATTCAATTTTCCTTCTCAGTTTCTAATAAAACAAACAGAGGTATTACGCAACAAACATGAATATATTTGAAGAAATCGAAATAATAGAGAATTTGAACGATAATTAGAAATAAAAATCGTAGGCCTGAGACCTCGAAGGGATTGAGCTTACCGTGATGTGAAGAGTTGAATGAAGAAAGTCACGGTGTCTGAAGGAAAGCTGAAGTTCAAGTACAGATCTCAGATATATTGAGAACTGGAGATGTATGGAAGCGCAATTACCAAATGTCTTAATGTCAAGAGAAAATGCAAACCGTTGGATTGAAGGTCGATGAGGCTTCCCTATAAGAAATTATGAGCCCTTGAAAATTGCCAATTTAATTAGTTCCGAATTAAATTAATTTGCATTTTGTAGAGTTAAAAAAAAAAAAAAAAAAAAAAGGTTGGCCATTATTTGGCAAATGGTTGCGAGGAATTTCATTTTATCGGAGAGTAAACCACTTTTTCCCACCCAAAGTTTGCTTTAACAATATTTTTTTATTTAAAAGATCTCAAAATACCATTTTTTCACCTAAAGTTTATATTCCGTTAATATCAAAACTGATTCTAACAACGAAAATTATTTTTGTCACTACTATTTGAATCTCTTGTATCTTCTTAACAAGATCTTTTTTATTTTAGCATCTGATTTTTCAATGATTGCGACCGTTGCAAAGTTTAGAGTTTCTGTTCTTTGTTGATTTTCGACTCCTATTCTTAACTGATTTTCAACTCATCTGACGACAAATATTTAATTAATCATCACCAATTGATCTATCGACCTTCATTCTAAAAAACTCCTCTCATCCTTAAAAAAGTGAAATGTATTTTAAATAATAATGGAATATAAACTTTGGTAAGAACATAGTATTTTAAGATTTGTTTAGATTGAAAAATGTCGTCTAAGGCGAACATTGGGTTGGGAAAAAGTCGTTTACTCTTTATTAGATCATGCTCACGCTCATGCTCATGCAAAGCGTTTACCGTGTTTGTTTACATTTGATAATATATTCTTTTTTCGAATACCATTATTCACTTAGTGATGAAAGATGGATATTCTATCTATCGAGATTTATTTCCCTGGATTCGGCGTTATATTTTATAAAATGAAATTTAAAGGTACTACTCTAATTAATGAAGTAAAGAGTACTTTCGCTATTAAGGAAAAGAAGCAATAGTACCAATAATTATTATGCAAAGCTATATTTACCAATGAAATTAATCTTGATATTAGAATTTAGAACATATTTTAACGGCTAATATTTTAATTTTATATGAGCATCAAAAATCTTCAATTTTCATAAGCTTCAAATGAATCCATGAAAAATCTAACAGAACATTAAACCAAAGATAAATTTAAATAAACAAAATATGCCGTCCGGTTCAACTAAAAAACAGCTCAGTCACACTATTAAAAGTAACAAAACTCCAGGAAGATCACAGAAGAGAGTGCAATGCACTCGACTAGCTAAATTACTTCTTTGATTTGCTAGTTGCCAATTGGTTTTCAGGCTGCAAAAAAAGACAAAGAAAAACATGAGACAAAATAAATTTACACCAATATCGCTCACAAATATGTGTACATGACTGCATTACCTCCTTCTTTACTGGTTCTTCCTTCTCAGACAAGGTCAATTCAATGTGGCAAGGGGAGGACATGTAAGCTGCAATTTTTTTTTTCCAGTTAATTATCAATACATAAAAGAGTGTGATCCATCAGAACAAAACAACGAAGTCGAAAGAATTCAGAACTTACGATTAATTCTTCCATGAGCTCGGTATGTGCGGCGTCTTTGTTTCTGGGCTTGGTTCACCTGGATGTGAGAAATGTAGAGTGCATCAACATCCAAACCTTTCACCTGAAAAACAGTTGACAACTATTAGAAAATAGAAATCATGAAGTCAGCAAAGCACAAAAAACAAAAAACAAGACATGACATACTTCAGCATTGCTTTCTGCATTCTTAAGCAAGTCTAGAATGAACTTTGCAGATTTCACTGGCCAGCGCCCTTGGCCATTTGGATGCCTGTTCTTTGCCTGAGCAGTACGTCCAACACCACCACAGAAACGTGTGAAGGGTATAGCCTGTTTATGAGCCATAACATCCTCCAAATACCTCTTAGCCTTGACCAAAGGCAACTTCCTTATGNGATGCTTAAAGCAAATCCTACATCCACTGTTATTTTATTGTTCTCTGACTATTTCTATGATATTGCCCGTAAGACATACAAAGATGAAGAAATACTTTGCTTACAGAGAGAAAAAATGAAGCTCAAATCTATGTCTAACTCTCATATGCCTAACCCCCATTTTTGTGAAGAGGGGTGCTTATTTATACATCTTTTATTCTTTTAAATCAATATAATGAATGTTTTTGCAAGTTACCCTAGCACGTGGGGACCACTCCTTAATTATTATCTTTTTATTTTGATAAAGTTGGGATATGTGTGCGGTCCTCATCCACTCATAGACAAAACTTGAATCTGCTGAGTTGGTGACATCCGTATCCCTTCTATCTTGGGATAACGTGGTAGCTCCTAGACGGTACAAAGCCTTTCTGAACTCTAATTGGTTAGTGCTAATATCAGTGCGATTTTTTAGGCATAACATAGTTGGACAAATGCTTTATTACAATTATGTAAGCAAATTTTATGGTTTGACATGTGGCTTACTACAATTAAACATGATGAAACATTAGCGTTTGACAGTGATAATTTGAATTGAAGGAGACTTTGATGTACTGCAACTATGCATAAATCACGGTTGTAGTAATACGTATGGTTCGGCAATGACTTCTTACAACTGTACAATCTAATTTATGGTTCGTCATATCAACAGTAATAAAAATATATAACAATGATGTATAAATCATAGTTCGGCAATGGCTTATTACAATTATACAGTCAAATTTATGGTTTGGTAGCCAGTTTATTAGAATTCAACAGTAAACAAAGCTTATGGGTCGACAATGAGATTGTGAAATCAGATCAATAGGAAATAAACTGCAATTATGAGAGCAAATTTTATGTTTCTAACTGAAACTATATAGCAATCATGAGGAGCGATTGAACAGGCATATTACAATATAATACTGAAAAGAGTTTACGATAATATATTACCTTCGATAGGATGTAAATTGCAAGAACAAATTTTATGTTTCCACCCATTGTATATACTTACATCAAATCACAATAAAAAAATATTAACAATAATCTAGCAAAAGTGAATTTATATTACATATGATTTATTTTTCTCTTATATGTCTTTACAATAAATATGATTGATATTTATTAAATAAAATAATTACATAATATGGATACATTAACCTGTGATTCTACATTTGTAATACTACTGTGATATCATAGATTTTTTCTTCTTTATTAGATATCCTTATGTTATTCTATTTTTTTTTTTCAGCTAATCTCAATTTATTTACACACATAGGTCTAAAATTCTTTATAACATCTTACAAAATAAATCAATTGCATTATAAGACAAGATTCAAAAAATAAAAGAAGGATCATCTACCAATAAGATTGGACTTAACTCTAAGGAGGCATTTGGTTCAAGGAATATTGGATTACTGGAAAGTTCGATTACCTTAAAGATTACTGAGAATCTTTAAGAAAATGTGTTTAGTTAATTAATGGGTATGTTATATTAATATATTTTGTTAGAAGGATTAATTGGTGGGTATGTTATTTAAATTACTGAATTGTTCTTTAATTAAATATTATTATTATATTATTTTTTAATATTGATTATTATTTGGATTATTTTAACCCCTTTACATTTAAAAACTTAGCAAAAACAACCTCATAATAAAAGTTTGGAAAATCAACAAAGTACCCTCACCAACCCAGCCACTGTCGGCCACCGGCAACCACCGCTGGCAGCCGACAACCTAACGGCGCACGAAAGGTAGGAAAAGGTCTCCGTGCGCCGTATGGCCATTTCTGGCCAAAGAGACGTGGCAGATCTGGCTGTCGATGGTCAGATCAACGGATTTGGCCGTCAACTGCCAGATCTGGCCATTTTCAGCCAGATATCTAGCCGGAAATGGCCATATCGGCACACGACGACCATTTTCAGCCTTTCGTGCGCCGTTCCGGTGGCCGCGGCGGCTGGCCATGACGGTGGTTCCTCGTAGCAGGTGGGTGGGGGTGGTGGTTTGGGTGGGCTGCAATTTATTTTGAATTCAAGGGTAATTTTGTCAAAAAAGTTAATTAATTTGGGTAAAATAGTAAAAGCCATATTTATGTAAATAAATTTAAAAATAAGGGTATTATTGTCCTAAAATTTTATTAATAAGGGATAAAATTGTAACAAAAAAAAGATAACTCTGGTAATCTTAGAATACCCAAGAAAATTGAGGTATTACCTCCAATATTATCAATAGTAACCACTATTGGTATTTGAAGATTACCGATATCTTATATTACTTGACAACCAAATATGGTAATAAAGTAATATAAGATGACTTAACTTCAGTAATCCCACATAACCCCCAACCAAACGCCCCCTAGGGGGTTAACCTGACGGTAAAAAAAGTTTACTCATTTCATTGACTTCTTACATTCGAACCTTAGAATCACCTATCACATTTGTAACTTATCTTAGAATATTGAGTTTATTGGATATTCAATAGGCACCAAAAATTAATCGAGGTGCACACAAACTTACCTAAACACTCTAATAATCAGAAAAAAAGAAAAAAAAAAAAAAAACAGATTGGACTTCCATCACGTGGGTTTTTTCTCATGTAAAGAGTATTTCTAAATGCACCACATCCAATAAAATGTACTCTCAACCCATCTTTACCCTTTCACATTTTCCACCTAAGCCCTAAACCTAAAGCCCATTTTCAATTTGGATTAGCAGCCCTATCCGGATTTATCGATTGGCGGGTAACAGTATTTCATTGCGTAAAGTATTAACAGGATAATATTGTATAATTCAATCAAAATTCGATCAAAACATACACGCCTATAATTTATCAACAAACTGAGAATATTGGTTTTGATGATTATAAGGTATTCAATTTAAATTAACAAACAAAATTTTCGTGCCTATCTTTTCTGCGGATGTAATGCTGAAGCGATGTCGTTTAAGGCAACTAAGCTGTAAATGTCTGTTGCTAATCCTTCAAGAAGCTACTGGACACTCAAATGCTTCCACTGCTTCAGTTTAGAAAAAATGGATAAAACACCCAATGCGTGACTTTTCGCTTCCTTTGTTTTTATCTCTTCAAATTTTGATCGAAAATTATTGTTACACTAACGATCTCCATGCCGATCTCTTCAATTTCTCTCTTCCGTCACCGAGCAACCGCCGTTAACAACTTCATCCGCCATGTATCAGCTATCCACCACCGTCAAGCCCCGATCGTCACCGCCGCAGCTAAGCACCAGCAACAAAAACCTAAAAACTATGTTAGCAAGAATCTACTCAGAGCCAAACAACACACTGTGAAAGAATTCTCCTCTCTCGCTCCAGTTCTCTCACCACAGGACAAACAGAACCTGACCGAGTCCCAAGCAATAGGTACTGTAGCCGCCGCCCAAGCGAATTTCATGCGCGTGATCGTCCAACCAGAACCTTCTAGAACCTCCGATTCGTCTTCCAACATCACTAGTGGAGTGGAGCTGCTGTGTGTGGTGAAAGCCGTGCTGAAGAAGATAAAACGGAGAGTTTTGGTCGGGGACAAGGTGGTGGTGGGGTCCATTGATTGGGTGGACCGCAGAGGCATGATTGAGAATGTGTTTCAACGGAGTACGGAGATTCTGGACCCTCCCGTGGCGAATGTGGACCATTTGCTCGTGCTTTTCTCACTAGACCAGCCCAAGCCAGAGCCATTTACGCTCACAAGGTTCTTGGTTGAGGCTGAGTCGACAGGAATTCCACTCACCCTAGCATTGAACAAAGTAGAGCTTGTTGATAAGGAGGTTAGATACATTTTGTTTATGTTATTTCATTATTGTTTTGTTTTGTTCAAATCTGCATTCTAATCTTAGCTTCAGTTTCTAATTTGAATTGGCATGTTATTAGGATGTAATATCTATATGATTGAAGGTGAAAATAAACTTTGCTTAGTATTAACTTTATTGCAACTTTGCTTAAAGGTGAAAATTTGATAAACTTTGATTTTAATTCGGGTTCATGATATTTGATAAATCATCGTAAACCAATTGGGAACTGCCGGTTTGTGAGAGATAGTTAATGAGATTGGCTTCTAGCCAATCTCTATTGTTTTAATTCTGAATGCCACGTGAAAAGAGAAATGCCTGCACAAAGCTGTGGATTATAGTCAAGCTCGTGCTGCAACTAACAGTAGTGGTGTTATTGTTGCTGTTTCTTTAGGACTGTTGATATAAAACTTACAGGATTACACCTATCTCTTAATCAGTATTTGAATTGGTTGTGGGAAAAATATCCCGCTCTCTAAGCACTTCTGTTCTATTCTAAATCAAACGCATTTTTCTTCTTCTATTCCAGTGCTGTTAATGCTAAAATCTCTTGACTCTGCAGACACTGGTTGGATGGAACACTAGGCTGCATGGTTGGGGCTACGAACCGCTGCTTTGCAGTGTCGAATCAAAATACGGACTTGACTCTCTTGCATCAAGCTTGAAAAATCAAACAACTGTAATTGTGGGTCCAAGTGGAGTTGGGAAGTCTAGTCTTATTAATGCTTTGAGAAGCAATCCTAGTGCTGCTGATGCTGCTGAAGGGGATAATTGGTTTGAACCAGTGGGGTTCTCCTAACCCTGTTCCTTCACTTATTTGTCTTTCCTTTTGTTTGTGTTTGGGTTATAATTTCGTTCTTGTACATTCACTCTCTCCAGATTTTGGGAAGCAAATGGTTAGAGGATCAGCGTGTTGGGGAAGTTTCAACCAGAAGTGGCAGGGGAAAGCATACCACGCGCCATGTTTCTTTGCTTCCATTATCTGGAGGAGGTTATCTAGCTGATACTCCTGGGTTTAATCAGCCTAGTTTACTGAAAGTAACTAAGCAATCTCTTGCACAAGCTTTCCCTGAGGTTTGTGCTTTTAGCCTGTTGACAGTGATTTCGCACGCTTCATTTATTTAAGCTTTGACTGTGTTAAATTTATGAACAGGTAGTGATACCTTCTCTTTTCTATTGTTGATTCTTTCTGTTTCTATTTTCTCCTCAGATTCGGAAAAGGTTGAAAGCCAATGAGCCCTTGAAATGTACATTCAATGATTGCGTGCATATTGGTGAACCAGGGTGCGTTATAAAAGGGGATTGGGAAAGATATCAATACTATTTTCAACTTCTTGATGAGATCAGGATGAGAGAGGTGTTTCAGTTGAGGACATTTGGAACCAAAAGAGAGGGTGATGTAAGGTACGTAAGATTAGATCTCTAGTGATAGCTACATATTTGCCATGGTCTGTGGCATTCCACCCAGAGGTAATGGGTGTACTCCTACAAACAGTCCTTGTACAATGCTCAGGCTCTAGGCTTTAGGCTGAGTGGCAGGAGCAACCTTTAATTTATTATGAGCCTAAACATGGATTCAATAAGTTCTTGCAAATAACAGCTCGCTGAATAGAAACATTAAACTAAAAGCCCATACAAATTGACACCTAGAAAAAAAAAGGCCACTATGCAGATATGAAGAGCCGTAAGACTGAATTACCTGGGTGCTGGTGCCCATAAAAAATCGCGGATCCTGCTGTGGAACTAAAAGTTAGAAATGTTATGTTTCAATAAGCTAACGGCCATTAAAATTGAGAGTAGAAACATTTTGTCTGAAATATGCAACTTCAGTTTCATACTCTATGGCCATATAATGTTTGTATTAAGCATTTATACTGACGACTCTTCCTATACTTTTTCCTGTGTACTTCCTTTTCTTCTAGAACCAATAATTTGCAAAAATGTAGTTCAGTTCCTTGTTAGTATAACTTTGCAGGACAATCCTGGTTTGATAACTGCATTTCCAATTGTCAAATTGTTGTAGGTACAACGATGGGTGACATGGGTGTCAGCAGCTGAACCACGATTGGAGCCTAAAAGCACCGAAGACAGTTCTCGCAAGAAGATCACCAGTCAATATTAGATGAGCTGGAGGGATAGGATGAGATGAGTGGATAGGATGAGGATGAGCTAGACTTGGAAAATGATCACCATTTTGAGAGATATGAGGAACGAAAGCAGTAGAAAGTTGAGTGTTTAAAGTAAGTGTAAATGAGTAGATTTTTGACCTCTTTTTGTTACAGCTGCTACACTGAATGATCGGTGACGGGTAATGATGTGATACCAATCAGATTGTGAGTTTTCTTGGATAGAGAATAAATCCTTGTATAATGGCTGCTCATGGACTGATTGAGATCTAATGTGTTAACATTTGCAATTTTCTCTTTCATGGTATGACTACCCACAGCGCTTATTTTTGCAGAAACAGATGTCAGGCAGTAAAGCAGTGAACTAGTGAAGATTTTAGGAGTGTAAAATTGGAGGTTCCAGCGTGCTTTTTTTTTCTAAATTTAACCCTGTTTTTCCATGTACCGGTTTATAAACTTGGCATACTGATGCTCCAATATATGATGCCCTTACTTTTGTTTGAAATTCAACCTAAGAAACCTTGTCTCGTTGTAAGATGAACATAAAATGAATGAGTTAATTCCGTGACTGAATTTGCTACATATTATGATGTCAAGATTTTTAAGGATTAAAGTACCGTTGCGAAGTCAATGGGACCACTTCGCTTGCTTGTCTGAAAACTCTTTTAACAACCATCATGATATTGACTACGGGCAAGGACTCCTCCATATTCGTAATTAAAGTATTGAAGGGGAATGTCTGTGCTAGCAGTTAGCCTCTGCTGGATACTAACGTGGTAACCAAATTGACATTTAAGGGCTACTTAAAACCTGAACTTTCTATTATTCATGACACATCAACACTCCATCAGTAACTGAAATACTTCGCATAGAACACTTAGATATATCACCAATACTCCAAATCTTGGAGTATCCTAGCGATGCAGTTATGATCTCAAACAAACTGGCCATATAGAGTAAGGAAAAAGAAAACACAATCCACCTCAGGCTGAAAACATTGATATGTTAGATCATCACAGATGGAAGACAGGAGCATTAACAACTCTAGAGGAAATAGGATAAATACTTAATAAAGATACCTGAAGCCATAAACTCGCCACATCTCTCTAATAAAGAAAAGAAGAATACAAATTTCCCTGTTAACAAAATTCAGTTGACTATATGAAATGATGAAATCACCATCATTCTTATTGATTGTCATTTCATAATTTCAAGTATAATCAGGTCTGCTAAAATTTGTTGTGGTTATGCACACAGGAACCGTCATTTCGAAGAGAATCAGAATTCATTTTTCCCTGAACAACAATAGAATCATGCTAATTCAGGCGAATACTTTGACATACCATCAAGCAGAACTATGCTAACTTCTATCAAAATCTCACCACTCTCAGAAGAAGTATGCTACATAAAACTATAACATTCACTTCATTTCGCTATGCAGAAACGTCACTTTCCAGGGTTTACTCTAGTCAATCTCATCATATGATACTCACCATGCCCTATCATAGTGAGTTGATGACCGAATTAATATTACTTAACACCATAACAGGCAAGCAATAGATATTCTTTCCCAATAAAACACACACATACACATAATATACAGATGCAGGCAACACAGTCATTATACTAAATCAAGGCCATTTCTAGTGAAGTCAAGAGAGTTTCAAAGTTTTGACAAGAAAGCAAGGGGTTTTTTTAAACCTTTCTAAGAAGATGACAGCCAAAAGTCATGAGAACCCTATCACATGCCAAAATTAACCTACTCTTAGCGGCTTTTTCTTTGAACTAACAGCCACCTGCGTTTGGGATGCTTTTCAGCCTCACTGGAGCCAACCCAGTTGAGTGGGTGGCGATTGAAGAAAGGCCAGTTAGGGACAGTGATTAATGTGGTGAGAACCACACCACCAGCATATATCAACATCATCATCTGAAATGAACTCATTGCGTAACCAGTAACAATGCCACAACCGCAGATGCCAACAGCATTATCGCTCAGCTCCGCTAATTTTTGCCCTTGCCAATCCATCTACAACATGGAATTGCAATCTAAACATTAAAGACTACCAAAGATAAACAACTAAAGTGAATGTTAGACCCTCAGAGAGAAAAAAACCATCATGCATCTTGTGCTGAGAAGTAAACAATAAAAATACGAATGTTATGACATGAAGATGAAACGAAAACCTAATGCTCGCTGTTTGGCTGCTGAGAAAGTTTTTAAAAGAGAGAAATTCGGAAACACTTTCTCCCTTTCGCGAAATCTGTTTCAGTCAACTAATCGTAAAAGTCATCTTTCGATTTCTCAGAAGCGCACAAATCGACAAATAAATACTGATTCAATTTTCCTTCTCAGTTTCTAATAAAACAAACAGAGGTATTAGAAGCAAAACTGAATATATTGAAGAAATCGAAATATGAGAATTTGAACGTATTAGAAATAAAATCGTAGGCCTGAGACCTCGAAGGATTGAGCTACCGTGATTAAGAGTTGAATAGAAGAAAGTCACGGTGTCTGAAGGAAAGCTGAAGTCAAGCCAAGATCTCAGATATAGTGAGAAACTGGAGATGTATGGAGCGCATTACCAACGTCTTAATGTCAGAGAAGGAAAATGCAAACCGTTGGATTGAAGTGATGAGGCTGCCCTATAAAAAGTTATGAGCCCTTGAAAATTGCAATTAATTATTTCGAATTAATTAATTTGCATTTTGTAGAGTTAAAAAAAAAAAAAAAAAAAAGTTGCCATTATTTGGCAAATGGTTGCGAGTGAATTTCATTTTATCGGAGAGTAAACCACTTTTTCCACCCAAAGTTTGCTTTAACAATATTTTTTTAAAAGATCTCAAAAATACCATTTTTCACCTAAATTTTATTCCGTAATATCAAAATGATTCTAACAACGAAAAATATTTTGTCACTACTATTTGAATCTCTTGTATCTTTCTTAACAAGATCTTTTTTATTTTAGCATTGATTTTTCAATGATGCGACCGTTGCAAAGTTTAGAGTTTCTGTTCTTTTTGTATTTTCGATACTATCTTAACTGATTTTCAAAACTTCTGACGACACAATTTAATTATCATCACCATTGATCTATCGACTTCATTCTAAAAATCCTCTCATCCTAAAGTTGAAATGTATTTGTAATAATAATGGAAATAAACTTGGTAAGAATAGTATTTAAGTTTGTTTAGATGAAATGTCGTTCTAGGAACTTGGGTTGGGAAAAAGTCGTTTACTCTCTATTAGTATTAGATCATGTCATGCGAGCGTTTACTCGTGATTGTTACGTTTGATAATATATATCTTTTCGAATACATTATTCACTTAGTGATGAAGAGGATATCTATCATCGAGATTTCACTGGATTCGGCGGTTTATTTTATAAAATGAAATTTAAAGGTACTACGCTAATAATGAAGTAAGATACTTTCGCTATCAAGAAAGAAAAGAAGCAATAGCACTCATGCAAAGCCATATTTACCAATGATTATCTTGATATTAGAGTTAGAACATATTTAACGGCTAATATTTTAATTATATGAGCATCAAAAATCTTCATTTTCATAAGCTCAAAGAATCCATGAAAATCTAACGAACATTAAACCAAAGAAAATTTAAATAAACAAAATTGCCGTCCGATTCAACTAAATAACAGCTCAGTCGCACTATTAAAAGTAACAAAAACTCCAGAAGATAACAACGAGAGTGCCAATCCCTCGACTAGCTAAATTACTGTCTTTGATTTGCTAGTTGCCATTGGTTTTCAGGCTGCAAAAAAGACAAAGAAAACATGAGACAAAATAAATTTACACCATTATAGCTCACAAATATGTGTACATGACTGCATTAACCTCCTTCTTTACGGTTCTTCCTTCTCAGACAAGGTCAATTCAATGTGGCATGGGGAGGACATGTAAGCTGCAATTTTTTTTCCAGTTATTATCAATACATAAAAGAAGTGTGATCCATCAGACAACAAACAACGAAGTCGAAAGAATTCAGAACTACGATTAATTCTTCCATGAGCGGTATGTGCGGCGTCTTTGTTGTGGGCCGGTTCACCGGTATGAGAAATAAATGTGAGTGCATCAACATCCAAACCTTCACCTGAAAAACAGTTACAACTATTAGAAAATAGAAATCATGAGTCCGCAAAGCACAAAAAACAAAAAACAAGACACGGACATACTTCAGCATTGCTTTCTGCATTCTTAAGCAAGTCTAGAATGAACTTGCAGATTTCACGGGCCACCGCCCTTGGCCATTTGGATGCCTGGTTCTTGCCTGAGCAGTACGTCCACACCACCACAGAAACGTGTGAAGGTATAGCTGTTTATGAGTCCATAACATCCTCCAAATACCTCTTAGCCTTGAACCAAGCAAACTTCCTTATGGCATGGGCTGTTTCTCTTGTGTTCTATAAAAACAGTAAAATTTGCCACAGAACAAATATATAAGTACAAATGTAATAGAACACTGAATTCAAGTTGAGCATGTAATAATAAAGAGATATAATTCACCGTCTACACATAACACAAAACAACATTGATACAAGAGATTAAGACTTATTTTTCCTATAACAACAGCATTAAGAAAACAACTTCCATGTTAAAATAATTTAAAAAATAACTTCCAAACGAGGACTGACAAATTATACACCAGGTATGAAATACGATACAAGAAAATTGTCATCATGTACTGAACTTCATCACCAATAACTACAGAGGTTACCCCAATAACAATGCATATAATTTCTTGAAGTCTACTCGAGCCCCTGTTTACAAGAAGCAAACAGACCCTGCTTTTTTCAATCAGGTTATATAATCAAACAAACAAGGAGGAAAATGAATTCAAACCCTAGGTTGTAAGTACACTACAAGTTAAATGTGCCATCATTTACTGAACTCAGTACAAATAACTACAGAGGTTCACCCAATAACAATGCATGTAATTCTTGAAGTTACGAGAGTCATGTTCACAGAGGCAACAGGGCCCTGCTTTTATCATCAGGTTTTAACTAAGGAAATAATCTTGCCTTAGGCATAAGTTACAGTAGAAGTCAAATGTGCCATCATTTACTGAACCTTCAGTCACAATAACTACAGAGGTTCACCCAATAACAATGCATGTAATTTCCCTGAAGTTTACGAGAGTCATGTTTACAAGAAGCAACAAGACCCGCTTTTTTCAATCAGGTTTATAATCAAACAAACAAGGAGGGAAAAGAATTCAAACCCTAGTGTTAAGTTACCACTCAAGTTAAATGTGCCATCATTTACGAACCTTCAGCCACAAAACTACAGAGGTTCACCCAATAACAATGCATGTAATTCCCTGAAAATTTAGAGAGTCATGTTCACAAGAGACAACAGGGCCCTGCTTTATCCTCAGGTTTTAACTAGGGAAGATAAATCTTGCCTAGGCATAAGTACAGTATAAGTCAAATGTGCCATATTACTGAAACTTCAGCCAGGAAAACTACAGAGGTTCACCCAATAACAATGCATATAATTTTCCTGAAGTTTACGAGAGTCATGTTCACAAGAGGCAACAGGGCCCTGCTTTTTGCATCAGGTTTTAGATTCAGATAAAAAATAAAAAGATGAATGGATATTAAAAAATTTAGTTTGTCTAAAAGATAAAGACAGTTAAAAAGATGAAAGTTCAAGGGAACTGAAATTTTATCATTGTTTCTATATCTGCACAATAATCCAATTTTTTTTCTCAAACAGCTAATTCTAAAATATGACCTCTGAAAGATAAAATCATACATCTAACAAGATACCAATTTAAATCCAACTCTCGTAATCAAAAACAGCAAGGCAGTCCAAACCTGTGCTCTGAAAAATAGAAACAACCATGCCTCCTTGTTATAACAATGTAAAGGCAATTAATCTCTAGACTTTAAATAAGAAAGCAGCTTTAGAAGGAGATATAATGTTCATACTCTTCTCTAAAATTCCTAACACGTAGGTACAAATGAACTCACGTAAAACATGGAATTCAAACAACGTATGGAAATAAATTAAGGGGAAAAAGGTTTTCAACTCATGACTTGAAACGAATAACAAAACCTAACTCAGATTATTTGCCGATCCTAGAGTGCATGCAATCAGCTAAATGTGACATCGTTTACTGAACCTTCAGCCACAAAAAAACAAACAGAGGTTCACCCAATAACAATGCACTTGATTTCCCTGAAGTTTACGAGAGACCTGTTCACAAGGGCAACAGGTCACTGCTTTTTTCATCAGGTTCTTATTAATCACCGGCTTGTAACATGCTCATGAGACACTAATAAAAACCAAACAAACATCAAGTGCTTCAACAAAACCACTAACTATACAAAAACCAGTCTAATAATTAAACAGAAAGTACTATACCTTAAAATGAACCCTGAGATCAGATCCCCTGGACTTGCAGGCTGCAAATATAAGCATTATAAAAAAAAAATTAGATCAAAACAGCAAAAAAAAAAAAAAGAAAGCAGGAACTTCAACTATGTATGATTATCAGGACAACATAGATCTATTCAAGCTAAAAGAAGATAAAGGAAGAGAAATGGATAATAAAACTTACACTTGGTGGGGTTGTCAGGCTCTTTTGAGTACTTCACCTGAAAACAAAATTCCGAAGTATGAAGGTTATAAACAAAGCGTCTGAAGATTGCAAACTAATATGAAATATTGACTGTATAACCAGAAGAGAGGGGAGACAATTGAAGAGGTACCATTGCGGCTGAAGAAATGAGCCGCTTCTGAGTTAGGGAAGATGGTATGCTTCGTTCTGTTCTAGCAGCAGAGACTTAAACAGGCGCTAGGGCTTCATTTTATAGGATTGAAACGTGAAACCCTAGCTCCTAACGGCGGTGTTATTTTAATTTGGGCCCGGGTTTATGTTTGGGATCTAAAAGGCCCATTAGTTGTTCGCATGAAGTCAATAGCCGCTGGAAACGTTTGAGTAAAGCAGCCTAGGATTAACTCCAGCTCTGGACCGCTTAAATGGGCTCAAAACACAAGTCTAAGTATTTAAACCAAATTTAAATTTCCTTACAATCATTCTGGAAAAAGAGTATCATATTTAAAAAAAAAAATTAGTAACGTTGAAAGGCTCCCATAGAACCTTTCAACTCTTACCGGTTCAATAACATCTTAAACCACAGTTTTGATTAGAAGCACAGATCTGGCTAGGGCTGTCAGACTAGCCGAGCAGCTCGCGAGTCGGCTCGGCTCATTTGAAACTCATTTATGACTCGGCTCGAGCTCGTTATATAAACGAGCCGAATTCGAACATGGTTAAACCAAATTTAAATTTCCTTACAATCATTCTGGAAAAAGAGTATCATATTTCACAAAAAAAATTAGTAACGCTGAAAGGTTCCCGTAGAACCTTTCAACTCTTACCAGTTCATTAACATCTTAAACCACAATTTTGATTAGAAGCACGGATCTGGCTAGGGCTGTCAGACTAGCCGAGCAGCTCGCGAGTCGGCTCGACTCTTTTGAAACTTGTTTATGACTCGGCTCGTGGTTAGCCGAGTCAACTCGGCTCGAGCTCGTTATATAAACGAGCCGAGTTCGAACATGGGGAGGCTCGGCTAAGTAGGGTTCCATTTGTTATATTTTATAAACTGTGGGGACTGAAGTGTTATACATATTCTTTAGTTTTAAAAATTTGTAAAAACGACATTTAACCCCCCGATGTAATTTTTTCTAAAACACAAAATTAAACCTCCAAATCAGATATCCCAAATCGACAAACCCTAACCCCTAAATTTGTTCTTGCAAAAATTCATAATCAAAAATCAAAAATCAAAAATCAAAATCAAAATCAATATAATGGTTGTGTTGAGGAAGAAGATGAAGATGCAGAAGATGAAGATGGAAGCAGCGTGTGATGCTCTGCAAGATGAAGATGAGATGGAGACGAAGATGAAGATGAAGACGAAGATGAAGACGAAAACAAGATGAAGATGAAGATGAGACGAAGATGAAGATGAAGATGAAGATAAGGATGAAGATGAAGACGAAGAAAAGGATGAAGATATGAAGATGATGGAGAGATGTAGAGGATGCAGATGATGAAGATGAAGTCGAGTTCGAGTTCCTTTTCTCTGACTCGACAGGCTCGAGCTTGAACTCGAGCTCGATCCTGTAGCAAACGAGCCAAGCTCAATAAGTCGAAAACTCAACTCGGCTCGGCTCGTTTACAGTATTGTTTTAAAAACCGAACCGGAGGGCAACCCGCTCTGCTGGTCGGGTCACGGTTCAACCGGTCCAACCAGTTGGACCGCTGGTTAGACCGGTGACATCATCATAATGTGTGATGACATCAGCATATTTTAAAAAAAAACTTTATCCAAAAGGCCACTGGCTAGAATGAGATTGGAACACACTTCATACAACAAATAATTCTTACCATCTTTTAATTTCCTCCATCAAATCCTTAACCATTTAATAACAAGTATGAAATTTCTCAAACAATAGAATTAAAGGATTTTGGGCTTTTGTGTAGCCCAAATGTAGATACAATATAGCTTCAGCCTCATTCTACAACAATCGAGACTTAAATTGGCCCATGACCAAGTAGTGGAATACAATTGGCCTTGGAAAACAACTGCAACATTTTGAGGGAGCCAATGCTTTGGTTTTGGGAAACACTGGAAAATTCGAAAACCAAAACAAAACAGGTTCAGCACCGACACCATGCCATTACCAGACAAAACCAATGGCTAATCAATGGGCATGACATCCCCTGTTTTTTTTTTCTTTTGGTGACTCAGCTTCTTCATCTCAAACACCAAAAATCTGATTCTGTGGAAACAATACTCAATCAGTTCCCCTCCTCAACATATTTCGCTGACCAGAAGCAATTGAAGTTGGAGACTAGCAACTGTGGAAGATGAAGATCTGGTGGAGTCAAGGTCCTGCTTGGACATGCACCGGCCTTAAAGACTCAATTTCTTGATCGCAAGTTTCAATCTTGTAATCGATTATCTCTAAGTCTTCCTTTTCGTTTTTGTTTTCCATTTTCTTCCTGTACATACACAAGATGTGCATACGTTTTATAGAAAAAAAAAATCATCAACGAAATTTAATAGAGAAATTTTTGAAGAGAAGCTGAGAAATTTTAGTAGAGAAAGTGAGAAAGAGAAGAATCTGAGAAACAGAGAAAGGAAATCGATGGAATGGGTTGCGGTAGTGCGATTGGGTAGGGTTGGGGGTTTTGAAATCAGACCGGTTTATCGTTCATTGAGTTTATCCAGGTTAACACGGTTTAATGTATAATAACGGTTTTAATGTTGACCCGGACCGGATACGTGACCGATTTTTAAAACAGTGGTTTACAGCCCTAGATCTGGCAATGCTTAAAGGTTATTAAAGCCAAGTTTAGGCTACAAGAATGCTGTTTATCATTTGATTTTAATGTAGCATCACCTCATAATTTGTTGCAATTCAGAAACATCGCAAATCTAATTACTAGTAAAAGAGCAAAAATAGATTCTATGAACTTTTGAGTTTGAATCTCTTCAAGCACTAATAGGAGTGACCACTGAAACTTTTACCTGGTCGACAATTCCAAAGCTCCGGAGAATTAATTAAAAAGCACGTAAACTGGCCCAAACACCCCAGTGATAAAAAAAATAAAAATAAAAAAGGAAACATCAGAAGACAAGCTAACCATGAATTTTAAAATTGAACTATATTGATCATTGATTTTATTAAAGCTGTGTTTTACAAATTGTTTTTAAGACAATTATAAAGTGGTATTGTATATTATACAAGCTAGAAGACATAGCTGGATATAAAGCTAGAAAAAGCAGTAACATCTGCCCAGTCTGGGAAACGGCTCTTCAACTTCTTTGCTTCATCAACCAAAATTTGATCTACTACACTGACTTGCACTCTTAAATGTTCTGAACTGCTAGCCTGCAATTCCACGAGGAGAGTTGAGTACACTTAAAATTACAGATAATAATGAATCAGAAAATGCCCAGAGCAAGCGTGGAGGGGGAGGGGACACAAAGAGGACTGAAAAAATATGTAAAAGTAGCAACAGTTACAGATTTAAAGAAAATATATGATGATGATGATGATACCGAAGAAACAGATGGAACAATAACGATATATTTACTCAACCAGCATTCCAATTATTCAAAGATGACTGAAGGCGCTAAAGGCTATTGGATGATCACACAAGAAGTTACAATTCTTACAACAGTATCAGGTTTTTATGTCAATAGCGCAAACAAGACATGCAAATAAACTACCAAGAGGAGCGAAACCTTACCTCTAACCAAAAGGTCCAATTTTCATGGCTGGATCCACTAAGCCGACATATGTATGATGGTGGGCCACCATAAACTGTCTCAGGAGCTGTAGAAATTTCACAAAGGATAAATATGCTATATGAGATGCTTTTGTTGGATATGGAAATGGAATCCAAAATTCTACATAATACCTGGAAGTTTATTGTCAGCAAATGACCAACTAGATAAAGGACCCGTAATGTTTAGGACTGCAACCCAAACCTCCTCCAACGAGCTGAAAGAAAAGAATGTGCAAGCTGTAAAACCTTTTAGCTGAATATAACATCTACAAATACATGTAAAAATATATATATCTCATATCATCAGCCAACTAACAATATATCAAATACATACAACTGTCGTGCATGCACCACTTTTTTTTTTTTCTGTTAACACCAAGTTTCCACCAAGCCACTTTAAGTCGCAACTCATTCCCAATTTGTCACTTGTTTTATTTACATAAATCATTGACCAGCTACTTGGGTTAAAACATTAAATAAATATGGATAATTCTGTATACCCATAGGTATACAGAATTATCCATATTTATGATTCAAACAGTAAACTATGAGAATGTCTGCTAGCCCCAATATTGGAGATACAGTAAGAAAATTGTGTATTTTGAAGCAAACAATTTTCTGTGCATGTGTATGACAATTGACATCCCTTGTGAATTTTGTTCTACTTACCCTAAGGAAAATTCCAAATAAACTCTCCGGGATCCATCACCAGAAGTTGTATGCGGCTTGTAATTAGACAAATGGGGGAAATACTTGTATCGCTTCAAAATTCCATCACTTCTTGCAGGGAATTTCAAACTTCTCGAGAACAAAAGGGATACTGGAAATATTGACTGCAAAAGAAACATAATTTCAAAATAACTTAATCCACCAAGCCTTCCATCAAGTCTTATATGATATTTAGAAATTTATTGAAAGTAATGACTACTTCATGAAATAACTCAGCATTAGTGGTCACATAGAAGATTTCTACTGCTCTTATGAAGAGGAATATTCCCATATAAGATTAATAAAGAGAAAAAGAAACTTTTGAGGAATACCACAACCCATTGGTAGCACCTATTTTCTTTTTATTTACAAGCCTGAATATATGTTTGTGTTAGAGAAAGAGAAAGGAAGGGAGATGGTATATCATTAGATGATTCTCATGTATGCATCAACATGTTGTAAAATACATGCCATTCAAGGAACTCCACCAAGCTTTTTGCAATACCACGACTAATTTGTCACAACTGGTTGGTTGAAATCGAAAACTCATATTCATGTATTTATTCGTGTATGCACAGAAAGGTGGGAGACACTTCTTTGCAGAAAGGAGCATGGTGATAAGAAGATCAATCTCTATAGTCCCGGGAAAACCATAAAGGATAAGCAGTAAAAGATCTTCTCAAACCATCAGTTTAACATATTAATAGCAAGAAACATAATGTCATACCATCCAAGTCTCTGGCTGAGATATATTTGCAGCTTTGAAAGAGAACTCTGAGTCAATTAGCAACTCCTTTGCCACTTCAGGTGCATATTTAAA